GTGAATCATCCGCTGCTTCGCGCAGGTCAAGAAGGTGTTGAGGCAGCAGCAGGTGAAACCTCACTGGATGTTCGCCCTCGACAATCTGCTCAGGCAGGCCGTGCAGGATGCCATCGCCGTGCTTCTCCCAGGTGCGACTCGGCCCGCTTTTCGAAGGACGATCGCATCGCCTTGACCAAAGTTGCCGGACATGGAGCCACACAATATCGCACGGTGACGTTTGGATGTGGTTCCATAACGCCGCGTTAGAACTGAAGATCCATCTGCAGTCGTCATTCGAGACCGAGGACGGCACGCTGGAGGAGTCGCCGGCCGACGCGGACGGCGGCCGCCACGAGGAGGAGGAGGAAGCGGCGGCAGTGGAACGCCAGCCGTCCGAGTCTGCGGACAAGATCCCGGCGCCGCCGAGGCCTGCCGACGCCATCCCGGACAGCAACTGCCCGCTCAGTGACGAACTGAGGGATCTCCGACTGGAGACCAGAAGGTGGTCTCCAGTCGGAGTTTTTGAATGGGTTGGGGGACTGTGACCCGCATTTGACTTTGATGCTCTGTGTACTTTTGTATTTGAGACTGCTGAGCCTGCTGAGTGACAAGGAGAGAGAGTACCAGGACCTCCTGAGGACTTTGGTCCAGAAGAAACAGGAAGACATCGATGCGCTCAGGGGACACGCTCCCGGTAAAAAAAAAAATTTTTTGCTTTGTCATCGTTGGCCGTGGGTTTGATCCCCCCAAGGAACAAGTCACGGAATGTTATTGATTTATTTTAATAACTGATCTTAGTTTATATGGCACCTGGCAACAAATGTGAGCACAGTGTTTTGACAATGGAATTAAAAAGATGAATTTTTAGAAATATACAATTATAGGTACGATTCGTGTCAGAATTAGAATTTTATATGCACAGTACGACCTACACAGCACTTCCCGGGTACTTTATTTTTTTGTTTTTTGTTCCGGCATTTCTATTTTAGCCTTCACAATACTGCCACCTGTTGGACATCCGTGGCAATGCAATATCAGACTCAAACTTGTTTTCTTTTTTCGCTTGCATTTTATTCGCACTGAAGTGAAGATAGTTGTGGTATTTTTTTTTTTTTGTTTGGCCTTGGCGGAGGTCCACACCTCGCCTCGGGGCTTCGGGTTTCCGCACGACCGGTTTCTGTCGCCTGGCTCATGATGGTTCCGTTTTTTTTTTTTTGGGAGGGGTGGGCATGTTTTGTTTTCACGACGGTCGACTGGAGAGCATGTCCGCCTCACAGTGCAGAGGTCGTGGGTTCGATTCCGGGCTCTGGTCTTCCTCTGTAGAGTTTGCATGTTTTCCCCGGGCCTGCGTGGCTTTTCTGCGGGTACTGCGATTGCCTCCCGCATTCCCAATGTGCATACATGGTAGGCTGTTGGAACACCGGAAGTGGTTGCTGGTCTATGTGTGCCCTGCGAGTGGCTGGCGACCAGTTCAGAGTCTCCTGAAGACAACCTGGATCGGCTCCGGCACGCCCCCGCGACCTTGCTGAGGAGAAGCGGATCAGATGATGGATAGATGTTTAGATCACGTGTCTTGTGGATAGATGGCGGCCGGACCGCACAAAAGAGCGGCGATCCGGACGTGAAGGACATGGTAGCCTGGCTGCAGACCATCCCGGTTGACCAGCACACCGTTGACAAGGTAACTCGACCCGCGGTGCGATCCCTGGTTGCTTGCTCCATCAGTTTACTTCCTGTTTATTCCTGCTGTGCCTCATGGTGTTTTTTTTTTTTGGTTTTTTCCCCAGTTGGTGGCACACGAGTTCACGTTGGACTGTCTTCTGCAAATGGCCTGCAGGGACGACTTGATGTACTGTGGAATAAGGTGAGCGTGCTTGCAATCTATTTATTTATTTGATGAGACCAAAGAGATGCCGGTGGGGCTTCCTTAGTTTTTTTTTTTTTTTTTGTTCTCTTGAAGTCACAGTTTCTCTTTTTTTGCCCCATATATTTTCGTTTCAGGGGAGGCATGCTGTGCCGCCTGTGGGCGGCCATTGCGGCTTACCGCAAGTGCCGGCGCGCCAGGCTTGACCGGGACGGCCACCACGGCGCTCTACTTTGACACTCCTGCTTTTAGTGGACAGGCTGGACCTGTTCCAGGCGCTATCAATGTGATTTTCTTTGGTCTTCTCACCTTCCTCTTTGTACATTTCAATGTAAATATGTGACATATATCGAAATCTCTCTCTCTATATATATATATAAAAACGTTTAGCAAGAAAACCAGGTTCAGCTACAGTCCTGATCTTTTCGGACGTTCTTTGTCTGGCGTTTGGCACGGGTGACCCCTGCCAGGGGCCCGAAAGCCTCAGACACGTTCGCCCCGAGGATCAGGATCAGTCAGCAGGCTTTTCCCGAGGATTGGGGACACCACCTAAATCTCGGGGATTAGCCACATAGCGGTAGTCATCGCATTGTTTTTTTTGGGGCGGGGGGGTGCGGATCACGTGACCAATTGCCCCCGCTCAATGCATTTAGCAATCACCACTGGTGAGACGTTTACATTTAATCCTCTCGTGATGAATTAAAACCACAAATCTGTGTCTGGATGGAATTTGTCGTCGTTATGTTCTTTCAGAACCGCCCCCGGACTGACTTTGTCACTTCACCCTTTCTCATCGCGGATAATGTGAACAAAACTCATTCACTGCCATTGACGGTTAGAGACGTCAAAGATCCATTTCGAGCGGGTTTGCAGTTGATTAATCCCCGAGTCAAACTGTCTTGAGCGTCACGACTATTATAATTTTCTGCTCTTTGGAAATAGAGCGAAGTCGCCGCTCATGTCCATTGTGCTCCGTAAGCGTAGCCTCTTCTCAGGCAAAATGACATTTTTTTTTATGAAAAGACGCTCCACAATCTTGCATTTGCCGAAGGGTGCGTTTTGAAGTCTCCTAAACGGGATGCATCCTCGAAAAATTTGTTGAGTTCATTTCATTTCAAAGGCTTTATTTTGCTACTTTGTTAGCCAACCGGCTGGAAACACTCCATAACCCTCCGCCCCGATCTCTGTGTCCCCTACCCCCCTTTAAAATAAAGCCAGAGGTCGAGAGAAGCCCCTCCCACTTGCCTCTTATTCATATTTTATTTCCTGCCTCTGTTGTACCACCCCTCACTCGCTGGCCATTCTCTTTCTCTCTCTCTCTTCATCTTGGGTTGTCATGGAAATGAAAGCAAGTTAGGGGTTGGAGGAGGGGAAAGGGGTCATTAGAGTTCGGGGGTCCGACAGGGGGGCTTCTATTATTGAAGCAGTTTGGGATCGGTAGCGGACCGGAATGCAGCGATTCACGCACGCAGCAACAAGAGAGTGCACTGGAGCGGAAGGGAGGGGGGTGG